GTTCATAGTAAATAGAATTAAAAAAAAATATATATATATAAATAATAATAACAATAATAATAATAATAATAATAATAATAATAATAATAATAATTATTATTATTATTTCACCCCCCAGGCCCCGATGTGGGTCAGTGACCTGTGCCCGGGTGGGTTATACCCGTAAAAAAAAAATATTAAATAACTGCACAAGTAACTCAATAACCCTCCCCATCCCTTTAGCCCCGAACAAATTCCCGACCCCCACAACCCGCTCCTCCCAACACTGCCTATCAACCAATTTCCCGGCCCCTTCTCTCCCCCTCACACTGGCTGTGAAATGTATCCAATTATCCATATGTGTGTGTGTGTGTGTGTCATAGAGACTATATTCCTACTCTGTATCAAGAGTTAATCTAACAATGTCTATTTGACTTTTAATTTTTCGAAGTAATAAGTTCAAAATATTCATGTCCATCCATTATTTAATAAATATCCAGGTGAGATCGTTAACAGGTGGCTCCATGAACTGCAAATAGGTTCAGTGTGTGTAAAGGTGTCCTGCTAGGACGCCATTATGGTGTGAGTTATTGTAAATTGTTTTTGTAGTAGAAATTAGACTTTTGTGTGTGTGTGTGTGTGAGTGTGCGTGTGTGTGAGTAAAGGGAGTGTGTGTGTGTGTGTGTGTGTGTCTGTGTGTGTGTGTGTGTGTGTGTGTGTGTGTGTGTGTGTGTGTGTGTGTGTGTGTGTGTGTGTGTGTGTGTGTGTGTGTGTGTGTGTGTGTGCGGCATATGTCAAGGAACTTTTAGACCTAGAGAATGATCAAGTCCAATAAGCATGTGAAGCATAAAAACTTGCAGATCAGCACAAGATGCGCGAATTTTTAATTTCCACTAAAACATTTTATGAGCCAGTCACTCGTGGCACAGCCCCCCTCTGTTCATTTGACGCTAACTTCATAATTAAAGACAATGAAGGCCTCCTTCAACGCTGGAAAGAGTTCAACTATTCATTGTTCGACCGAAACACCGATGTGGATGTCCTGACTACCCAGCAGGTCCCTCAGCACCCAGAGCTGATCCACCTCAGCTATCCTCCATCCCTGGATGAGGTAGCTACTGCCATCAAACAGATGAAAAATAACAAAGCCTCAGGGCCTGATGGAATCCCAGCCGAGTTGTATAAAGCAGTGGGACCTCTGCTTACCAGCCGTCTCCACTCTCTCCTGGAGAATATATGGGGAAAGGAGGAAATCCCCCAAGGTCTTAAAGAACAAGGGAGACCGGTCAGACTGTGGCAACTACCGCGGGATCTCGCTGCTCTCCGTAGCTGGGAAGATTATTGCCCGAGTCCTCCTAAACAGACTTCTTCCTGAGGCATAAAACTTCCTCCCAGAATCTCAATGTGGAAAGTAAAAAGAAGGAGAGGTAAGTTAAGAAGAGTGGACAGAAATGAAGGAGGAGGAAGAGAAAGAGTAGAGGTAAAAGAATGGAAGGAGGAAGAGGAGGAGGAGGAGGAGGTGAGGTTAAATGGAAGAAAAGACAGAAAGAAAGTAAGAGAGAGAGAGAGAGAGAGAGAGAGAGAGAGAGAGAGAGAGAGAGAGAGAGAGAGAGAGAGAGAGAGCGAGCGCGCGCACCAGTATTGTAAAAGTCTGCGGCCAATACAACCCACGTTTCACTTACTATACCATATATATATATATATATTCGTACAGTATTTTCTCTATCACAATCGCTTAATCTTCGACCTTTTACCCACATAGTCACCAGAATATTTCCCAACCTTAGATTCCGATCCATTAAATATATACCTGTCTCATGACCTCTGACCTCTAGCAATAAGGTCATGTAAATATTTCTACATTAATAATATACAGATATCACGTGGCACCACTGACGTGATCTTTGCTGCCCGCCAGATATAGAGAACAGCGTCGGGAGCTGTACATGGCTTTCATCGACCAAACCAAGGCCTTCGACTCGGTCAACAGAGAAGTACTCTGGTTGGCCCTCAGCCGTTTTGACTGTCCACCAAAATTCATCGCCATTGTGAGGCAACTCCACGATGGCATGAACGGCAGTGTCCTGCACAACGGCACCCAGTCAGAGTTCTTCCCCATCCAAACGGGGGTTAAACAAGGGTGTGTACTGGCACCAACTCTCTTTTCCATTTTCTTGGCTGCCTTCCTTACTTGTGCCAGTGTAAATTTAGCCAGCGGGGTGGACATCGAGTAGCCAGATGAAGGGGGTCTTTTGAACATAAGACGACTCCAGGTAAGAACAGAGGTGTCGACAGCTTACATTACTGAATTTCAGTATGCAGACGACCTCACCCTTTTTGCTCACACTGAACACGACATACAAGAGATCCAGAATACCTACGCAGACGCGTATGCACACTTCGGCTTTGAGGTGAATGTACGTAAGACTCAGATTCTCTTTCAACCTGCCCCTGGCTCAGACACCTCCACCATCCATCCAGCTTAACGGCACTACCCTCTCTAATGTTGCCCACTTTCGGTATCTCGGCTCCCACCTGTCCACCACCGCAAACATCGATGAAGAGATTCAGCATCGGATCAGATGTGCATCCCAAGTCTTTGGCAGACCCCGAAATCGTGTCTTCAGCTGTAGGAAATTATCTACAAAGCTGCACGTATATCGAGCAGTGTTCCTGCCCACCCTACTATATGGCAGTGAGACATGGGTCACATACAGGAGGCACTTCAAGGCACTTGAAAAGTTTCACCAACGTAGTCTACGTTCCATCCTCCGATTTCGCTGGGAAGACAAGAGACCAAATGCCAGTATTCTTGCTGACACCAACTTTAGTAGCATCGAGGCTACCATTATCCATGGACGACAGTTGACTGCCAAAGCAGCTTCTTAACAGTCACCAAACGAATGGTAAATGTAACGCCGGAGGGCAATTGAAAGGGTATAAGGATAGTCTTAAGACAAACCTGAAAAAGTGCCAAATCGACCCCCTTACCTGGGATCGATTACTCTATATCGTAACGCTTGGAGGAGCACCGCACGAGAAGGTATCAATGCTTTCGAGTTAGCCCGACTGCAAACCGAGGCAGACAAGCGTCAACGCTGGAAAGACGCTGCCACCACCCCTCCCGCAGATGGAGCCCTCCATATGTGCAACGAATGTGAACGACGCTGCCGGTCCTTTTATCGGCCTCTTTAGTTACCCCAAAACTCATCAACCTAGGTGACATCCCTAATAACTTATATCATTGTAGCATAACTGGATGATCGTCATACTCGATTCCGAGTAACAGCAAAGTAGTAGAAGTGTGTGTGTGTGTGTGTGTGTGTGTGTGTGTGTGTGTGTGTGTGTGTGTGTGTGTGTGTGTGTGTGTGTGTGTGTGTGTGTGTGTGTGTGTGTGTGTGTGTGTGTGTGTGTGTGTGTGTGTGTGTGTGTGTGTGTGTGTGTGTGTGTGTGTGTGTGTGTGTGTGTGTGTGTGTGTGTGTGTGTGTGTGTGTGTGTGTGTGTGTGTGTGTGTGTGTGTGTGTGTGTGTGTGTGTGTGTGTGTGTGTGTGTGTGTGTGTGTGTGTGTGTGTGTGTGTGTGTGTGTGTGTGTGTGTGTGTGTGTGTGTGTGTGTGTGTGTGTGTGTGTGTGTGTGTGTGTGTGTGTGTGTGTGTGTGTGTGTGTGTGTGTGTGTGTGTGTGTGTTGTGTGTGTGTGTGTGTGTGTGTGTGTGTGTGTGTGTGTGTGTGTGTGTGTGTGTGTGTGTGTGTGTGTGTGTGTGTGTGTGTGTGTGTGTGTGTGTGTGTGTGTGTGTGTGTGTGTGTGTGTGTGTGTGTGTGTGTGTGTGTGTGTGTGTGTGTGTGTGTGTGTGTGTGTGTGTGTGTGTGTGTGTGTGTGTGTGTGTGTGTGTGTGTGTGTGTGTGTGTGTGTGTGTGTGTGTGTGTGTGTGTGTGTGTGTGTGTGTGTGTGTGTGTGTGTGTGTGTGTGTGTGTGTGTGTGTGTGTGTGTGTGTGTGTGTGTGTGTGTGTGTGTGTGTGTGTGAAAGAGCTCTACAGTATAAAATTACTCAACGACTTGAAAGGTTAAATTAGATTAATAGGTTAGGTTAGGTTAAAACTCAAATCTAAGTCTAAGTCCAGGTTAGGTTATGTTGGGTTATTTTTTAGTCTATTTCTTAGAGGAAATATTAGACCCTAATTAATCTTACAGTATATTTGACTTATCCAGGCTTGACAATTTCACTTGTGAGGAAGACTAACCTGGGCCACTAATTTAATTATATTTCTTCTTTTCTCTTTAATTAAGTGATTTTAGATGTATATAAGGACTTAGGCTCTGATATAGTGGCATTTTAAACATTGTTCTGTAAGTACGGTATACACATACCATATGTTCCTACTTACGTACATTTCCGGCTTCAAATCATCCTCAGGAACGGAACCCGTTCGTAACCCGGGGACCCCCTGGTATTTAACTTTGTATGATGGTAAAAAAAAGTAGTTATTCTATTTGTTTGTTTTTGTTATTGTTGTTGTAACAACAAAAACAAAATCTTGTTTATAGTTTTCTTTCATTTCTGGTTTGAATTTTGAATTATATATATATATTTTTTAATTAGGTGAGGTGACGAAAAATAATGGCAGGTGATGTAAAGTTAAAGTGAGGTGAGAGAAAGGTGAGGTGAATTAAGGGTAAGATGAGGTGATGTGAAGTGAGGTGAGTTGAGGCGAGGGAGACTGCAATATAATTCTGTGAATAAATTAAACTTGCGACTGTTTAGATATAAACAATTGCAAGAACGGTTATGGGGTGTACGACGTCATTTACGATGACCTTGCCCTGGTCTTTTTCAGCAATATCGCCTTTAACACGTGGAATTCTGCACTTTTCGAAGCTTTGGAGGAGTCTCAAAACAAGTTTCCTGGTGGGAATTATTAGCTAGTGCTGTACTCAAAATATCGAAACTTCGAGATCTCTCCAGAGCTTCAAAAGGGTGGTATTCCTGAAACAAGATCAGGGCAAGAAGGTCATCGTAAACGGCGTAGTACACCCAACGACTGTTCTTGCAATTGGCCCTAAATACTAAATTTTCACTTATATTTGTCTATGAATATTTGATGTGACTTTGTTCGTGATAATATTTCAATATAATAAGAACAGGTATGTGGTGGCGGCCTGGCACCTGCACTCAGTAGCGGCTTGGCACTTATCCTGACCTGCTCGTAAAGACACACATCTTGGGAAGGATTTAGCTACAGGTGTTGACAGGTAAGTGTTCTTATATTCTTATCCATTCTGACCTCCGACACCCACACCCAGGTAGACTGTCACCCCTCACCCAGGTAGACTGTCGACCCACACCCAGGTAGACTGTTACCCTCACCAAGGTAGACTGCCCCCTCACCCAGGTAGACTGTCAACCCACACCCGGTAGACTGTCACCCTCACTCAGGTAGACTGTCAACCCACACCCAGGTAGACTGTCATCCCTCACCCAGTAGACTGTCACCCCACCCAGGAAGACTGTCACCTCACCCAGGTAGACTGTCACCTCACCCAGGTAGACTGTCACCCTCACCCAGGTAGACTGTCACCTCACTCAGGTAGACCGTCACCCACACCCAGGTAGACTGTCACCCCACACCCTGGTAGACTGTCACCCCACACCCAGGTAGACTGTCACCCTACACCCAGGTAGACTGTCACCCTACACCCAGGTAGACTGTCACCCCACACCCAGGTAGACTGTCACCCCACACCCAGGTAGACTGTCACCCCTACACTCAGGTAGACTGTCACCCTACACCTAGGTAGACTGTCACCCTACACCCAGGTAGACTGTCAACCCTCACCCAGGTAGACTGTCACCCACACCAGGTAGACTGTCACCCTACACCCAGGTAGACTGTCACCCACACCCAGGTAGACTGTCACCCCACACCCAGGTAGACTGTCACCCTACACCCAGGTAGACTGTCACCCCACACCCGGGTAGACTGTCACCTAACCCAGGTAGACTGTCACCCTCCAGGTAGACTGTCACCCCACACCCAGGTAGACTGTCACCACACCCAGGTAGACTGTCACCCTACACCCAGGTAGACTGTCACCCTCACACCCAGGTAGACTGTCACCCCACACCCAGGTAGACTGTCACCCTACACCCAGGTAGACTGTCACCCCTACACCCAGGTAGACTGTCACCCACACCCAGGTAGACTGTCACCCCACACCCAGGTAGACTGTCACCCCACACCCAGGTAGACTGTCACCTACACCCAGGTAGACTGTCACCCTACACCCAGGTAGACTGTCACTCCACACCCAGGTAGACTGTCACCCCACACCCAGGTAGACTGTCACCCCTAACCCAGGTAGACTGTCACCCCACACCCAGGTAGACTGTCACCCCACACCCAGGTAGACTGTCACCCCACACCCAGGTAGACTGTCACCCCACACCCAGGTAGACTGTCACCCCACACCCAGGTAGACTGTCACCCCTACACCCAGGTAGACTGTCACCCTCACCAGGTAGACTGTCACCCTACACCCAGGTAGACTGTCACCCTACACCCAGGTAGACTGTCACCCCTACACCCAGGTAGACTGTCACCCCACACCCAGGTAGACTGTCACCCCACACCCAGGTAGACTGTCACCCCACACCCAGGTAGACTGTCACCCCACACCCAGGTAGACTGTCACCCTACACCCAGGTAGACTGTCACCCCACACCCAGGTAGACTGTCACCCTACACCCAGGTAGACTGTCACCCCACACCCAGGTAGACTGTCACCCTACACCCAGGTAGACTGTCACCCCACACCCAGGTAGACTGTCACCTACACCCAGGTAGACTGTCACCCTACACCCAGGTAGACTGTCACCTACACCCAGGTAGACTGTCACCCCACACCCAGGTAGACTGTCACCCCACACCCAGGTAGACTGTCACCCACACCCAGGTAGACTGTCACCCCTACACCCAGGTAGACTGTCACCCACACCCAGGTAGACTGTCTCCCACACCCAGGTAGACTGTCACCCCTCACCCAGGTAGACTGTCGACCCACACCCAGGTAGACTGTTAACCCTCACCAAGGTAGACTGTCACCCCTCACCCAGGTAGACTGTCACCCCTCACCCAGGTAGACTGTCAACCCACACCCAGGTAGACTGTCACCCCTCACCCAGGTAGACTGTCAACCCACACCCAGGTAGACTGTCATCCCTCACCCAGGTAGACTGTCACCCCTCACCCAGGTAGACTGTCACCCCTCACCCAGGTAGACTGTTCACCTACACCCAGGTAGACCTCACTCCAGAGTAGACTGTCACACCCAGGTAGACTGTCACCCTACACCCCAGGTAGACTGTCTCCCTCACTCAGGTAGACTGTCACCCAGGTGGGCCCCTGTCACACCCAGGTAGACTGTCACCTCTACACCCAGGGTGGGTAGACTGTCTTCCCCACACCCAGGTAGACTGTCACCCTACACCCAGGTAGACTGTCTCCCTACACCCAGGTAGACTGTCACCCTACACCCAGGTAGACTGTCACCCTACACCCAGGTAGACTGTCACCCTACACCCAGGTAGACTGTCACCCTACACCCAGGTAGACTGTCACCCTACACCCAGGTAGACTGTCACCCTACACCCAGGTAGACTGTCTCCCTACACCCTGGTAAAACACTCAGTAATGTCTGATATTTCCGTTAGTGAGTGAATCGGTGACAAAATCAACCCTGCCACTTCCTCCCAGACCCGAGTGCTGTTTGTTTGTTTGTTTTTGTTTGGTTGTTTAGTTATTCATACATGCGTTACACCTAACCAGTAGTCAGCCCCACCAGACGCTGCTTTAAGTACTGATATATGACAGTCATGTTTGTTGTTATTGATGACTTCAGCATATATTGTACCTCAGATCTTATACCTTTCACCCCCCCCCTTCCTCACTATCTCCAGGGAGGACTCACAGCACCATGATGGCAGGGAGGGTGATGTTAATGGTGATGGTGGTGATAGTGGTTATGTCGTGGATGGTGTTCCCAGTGAGAGCAGAACATCCCTCCGTCCTGCTGGTAGAGAGTACAGTGTTCGGCAACATGATACTGGCACCTGGCAAGATGATCTCTGAGGACAACGACATTTATGACACCGTGAATGTTACACCACCAAGTATCTGTGAGTACTGGCTTTCCTCAGCCTTCACACAGGACTTAGACCCCTAACCTAACGTAGCCTAACCTAACCTAACGTAACCTAACCTTACCTTGTCTTAGTGAAATTCAAAAGACTTAGCGAGAGGATAATTTGAATATTTTTTGTTACCCTTACGAAAATTCTATCGCTCGTACAGGCAGTTGTCGCACGGCGTGTTGGTCATCCAGGCGGTGTGTGTCGGCGGTGGTGTTGGAGACTGAAGATGGTGCCAACAACACGGTACAGTGCCACCTGTCAGAGAAAGTGCCCATGGACTCTACCTTCACTGACAACCCAAATGCCACCTACATCTTCTGGCAAGGTGAGAATAATGGCGGATTTAAACAGTTATTATAAAAAGAGGTTAGTTTTATTCTGGTAGATATGTCTAAAATTAAGCTTTATTCCACCACTACTAGCAACTTTGGATAATTTTTAGAGCAAAGGACACCAGAGGATGTTGGAAAGGTTCAGTATGATATGGTACAAAATGTTTGGAGGAAACAGATGACTGCCCTCAATGTTTATAGCGCCCAAATTAGCTCATATTGAATTTGTTTAGCTTTAAGATAAAAATTTTGAGTTTTTTATTTTGCTGTAGCTTTGTTAATTTTTCTTCTCATAAATACTTAAAATCTATAAGATCACTTATATTCATCCTGTAATGTTTTGGTGTATAGGAGAGGTAGTGATTTATATTAACACATCTATAACTATCACCGGCCTGAATTAATCCTCCGATATATTGTACACAGAGTCTGTCCAGTCGGTAATGTACGAGATGTTAGAGGATAACCTCTTGTACTTGGTGCTGCCCCAGGCCAGTAGTCTCATAGCTGCCAAGAGTGACTGTGAGAAGATCCCCGGTCATCGCCTCGCACTGCTCAAGACCGATAACCATTTCCAGGCTGTGAAGAAGAGGATGTCTGGGCTAGGTAAATATATATATATATATATATATATATATATATATATATATATATATATATATATATATATATATATATATATATATATATATATATATATATATATATATATATATATATATATATATATATCTTGATAAAATCACACGGGAGAATGGAAACAACGGAGTACCTTAGCTTTCGTCTTTATTCAAGACATCTTCAGAGGCAACTGGATTACATGGACAGAGAGAGGCTTAAATATACAGGGTGACCTTAAAAACATGAGGTCAGGTCATAATGATGACATCCACTAATCCACACACCAACACACACGTAGAGGAGCTTAAGAGAAGGGTGGTGACGTGACTAACCAGGTCAGGTCAGAAAAAAGGGACCCACAAAATAACTATCATACATCTAGATCAAAGGTTTTCAAAGCATTTTTAACCTTGGGCCACTGACAAATAAATTTATGTAACATATTATCAGTTTTGAACTGACCATCACTAAGGTTTATTGATTTTAATTCCTTAATCAAACTAGCTTCAACCAGAAGTCTTTCTGTGACACAAGATGATTTGAATACTTCTAAGCTTTTTTCCCAAGCAATGGGGTGATTATTATTCCTAACATGAACGAACAAGGCACTGCTTTCAGATGCAGTTTTGATATTATACTTATGTTGTTTGATTCTGAGCTGCAGAGTTTTTCCTGTCTGACCTACATAATTACAATTACATTTGCTACATGGAATACAATAAACACTTCCATTTACATTCAAACTTGGGCTATTCCTTATTAACATATTGGTAATGGTTGAGTCATACTTGAAAACAACATTAATATTTAGAAGCTTGAGGGACCGAACTAACGGGACAAATTCATTACGATAGGGCAGAGTCAAAATATTCTTAAGTGTATATTTAAGCCTCTCTCTGTCCATGTAGTCCAGTTGCCTCTGAAGATGTCTTGAATAAAGACGAAAGCTAAGGTGCTCCGTTGTTTCCATTTTCCCGTGTGATTTTATCAAGTATATATATATATATATATATATATATATATATATATATATATTATATATATATATATATATATATATATATATACAATATACAGGGAAAAGAAAACACAGAAGTTCCCAAGCGTTCGTGTAATTCACATCTTCAGGGGTGAGTACAGACTCACCCCTGAAGATGTGAATTACACGAAAGCGCTTGGGAACTTCGTGTTTTCTTTTTCCTTGTGGTTATCAGCATATACCTGAATCACGCGCACCTACAGTGATTTACTTGCATATATATATATAAATATATATATATATATATATATATACTTCATTTTTAGTCCATATAACACGCGGACTTTGAACATATAATCAACGACCTCACCAGCAAGGAATCGAACCCTCGACCTACTGGGTGTGACTAGGGAACGCTTACCGGCTAGGCCACAAGGACACTAGAAGCAGTTCTAGACTCTGTTATATTTCGATTCCTTGCTGGTGAGGTTGTTGATTATATATATATATATATATATATATATATATATATATATATATATATATATATATATATATATATATATATATATATATATATATATATATATATATGTATGTATGTATGCGCGTGCGTGCCATATGCACTCTCTAAACATCAACATCTTTGTTCGTCAGTCTTTACTAAAATTATATAAATTTCTGGACTTGTAATAAAGTTCTCTAAATTGCCTGGTAATACACACGCATTTGTTTAATATTAAAAATATAAGACCTCGAATGTTTATACAACTAATGATATAGGGATAATGCATGTAATAATTTCATACAAATAATACGATATTAATAATGATAAACAGTTACTGCTGTTACTATAATTATTAATAATATTGCTACAGCAGCAGCTGCAACAGTAATATTAGTAGTAGAGATAATAATAATAGCAGCGCTAGTAGTAGTAGTAGTAGTAGTAGTAGTAGTAGTAATAGTGATAATAATAATAGCAGCACTAATAGTAGTAGTAGTAGTAATAGTAGTATCAGTAGTGAAACCAACCTTTTTCCATCTATTCATCAGACATGACGCTCAGGATTGACCTACTCAAGTTTCAAAACGGAGATGAAGTTTGGGGCGACGGAACACCATTCTCACTATCACAGATCATTGAAACGGGAGAAACAAGCATGGTTTCTCTATACTTTGTTCCCGTCATACTGAATAGCAACCTCAACTTCCAGATATACAATTTCCAGGACGCTTTGTACCCACTGTGTCAGGCTAACCCATTTGGCCAGGACTGGTAGTTAGCTAGTTCACATTCCTCTGAGTCTGATATAGTGGTAGCCTGATGACCACCACTATGTTGTCTGTGATTCACGTCTCCTCAACTATAATCTATTGTCTCTGTATATTAGCTTATAACACGCCCATATATCAGTGGTATAGATTGCCTCTATAATATACCCACAATATAATGCTATATATGATAGTCTATATTATTCACATTTTGGGGACTTATTTTATCCCATGTTAACTTCTGCCTCCAATAGTTGCCTTCAATATAAATGAATTATCCATAAAATCTCTAAATATTGCCATATATTTTATTTTAAAATATAAAGTTTGTCCAGACTCTGTAAGATGTTGTGTTATGTTGTCAAGTTGTTCGGTGAGTGACGTATAAATATTATTAACCTACTTTATGTGTATTATCTTGGCTTCTCTCCCACGTTTGTTGTGTGTTGGACTAAAGGATTACAGGGACATTAAGAAGTAAAGGGGAAATCATAGTGAGGGTGAGGCAAGACAAGTGTACGAGGTGACAGTAAAGTACTATGACAACACGTAGAAATGTCCACACACACACTTGGTCATATACTCAACTAACACACACACACACATACACCCACACACTTGGTCACACACTCAACTACACACACACACACACACAGACACACACACTTGGTCACACACTCAACCTAACACACACACACACACACACACACACTTGGTCACACACCTCAACTAACACACACACACACATACACCCCACACATAGTCACACACTCAACTAACACACACACACACACACACACACACACACACACACACACACACTTGGTCATATACTCAACTAACACACACACACACACACACACAGACACACACACACACACACACTTGGTCACACACTCAACTAACACACACACACATGGTCATATACTCAACTAACACATACACACACACACACACTCTTGGTCATATACTCAACTAATACACACACACGCACACACACACACACACACACACAGTTTACAAAGTGAGTCTTACAATAACTTAGACTAACCAATATATTGTGTGTTTTGTATTAGGTAAAAATTATAGTAGAAAATGTAAGTGTTGGTAGAGTTATGTATGTTCACATTACTGCACATATAATTACTCGATAATGTTATAATATTAGTATGGTAACTTAATCTTTTAATTGTATATATATATATATATATATATATATATATATATATATATATATATATATATATATATATATATATATATATATATATATATATATATATATATATATATATATATATATATATATATATATATATATATTCTATGAACTTAATATATTATATATTGCAGTAATTATATAATGTGAATATATAATATGCTTTAATAATTATAGTATATTCCTATATATACTGTACTTTAGTAATTAATACCCAATGCTGTAGTAATTTTTTTAACATAACATTCAATGTAGTTAATTATAAGCCTTATTGTATCTTATACTCCTATAATTACATAACCTCAATCAACACTGTATAAAATTATTTTACTTAAATAGACCACAGTGTATAATGTTGATAAGAAATATGTAACATGGTTATTCAGTTATATAGAGATAATATTAATTCTGGTTGTTCTAACAGCAAGTTAATATGGTACTTAACCTGTAGTAATGCTGATAGGTATTTATTTTCGTTGTTTGTGATGATGAATAGCTAACACCAGGTAACAAGTCGCTGTGGTTGTGATGCAGCCGTAGTAGTACTAGTTCAAAATGCTGTAAGTGAGGCAGTCACCAACCAACTACACAAAATCCGACGTTCCATTATGACAGAACAGCCGCACACACAAAACGAAAAACTTCAACAACTGTCAGAAAACTTGCACAGAAAAGTAGTCGTTGCACAGTAGGTGGATGTCTCAAACTGTCTAACAATGTTACCGATAAAAGCAAAGGGCTTCAGCCTTATCCAACAACAATTCTAAGGTATGGTTGACCAGCGGAAGGCATGCCCGGCCAGTGCGTGTGTGGAACACCCTACGACATCAACTACGTCATGGTGTGAAAGATGCAAGGTTTCGTATGCATGACGCACGATGAAGTAAGGGACCTCACTGTAAAAATATTCTAATGGAAAACTTCCTTGGCGTCACTATGGAACCGACCCTCCTCCCACTGGACAGTGGACGCTTCCTCCACTGGACTGCCAACATAACCAATGAAGCCAGTGTAGACGTCAGTGCCCAAGGGTTCTAGACGATGGGACAGTGAGCCTTCTTTGACATCAGCATCTTTGATCCCCTGGCCACATTTCACCGTGACCTGTGTGTCTAGGCTGCACACAGGAGGAACGGAACATCGGGCGAGATGGGACCTAGTGCAAATATGCTTGTATGCCAGACTGGGCGAGGTGTTATCAGAACAGACGCACCCCCCCCCCTCCCCCCGAAGCAACGTCGCGACCTGTGGTGTAATGGTCAGCATGCTCGCCTCACAAGCAGGCGGACCCGGGCTCGATCCCCAGGTAGGATGAAACTATGGCAAGTTCTTTACGCCATTTGCCTCTATCTACCCAGCAGTAATTGGGGACCTGGATGTTGATCGAATTGTGGAACGTGTTCCGGGGTAATGGTTAGCCAGTGCAGTTGGCGAGTTGTCCGGTCTTCTCGGACTATTCTTTGACACTGGGTCATGCAACTCGTTAACTTAGGGTGTGGCTGCTGTGTTGGTGACAACTTTTTCACCTAAAACAAATTCACGTCTCGGTAGCCCTTGGGCCGGCCATTTTCGTTACACAAGGAGCAACCATTATTATTATTAGGGGTCGTCTATGCTTTTCACTGCTCAGGTAGGCTCTGCTGTGCCCCAGAGACACAAAATCAGATCATCAGTCCTTAACCCAACAACAAACACAGATATGGATAGACTTTGAGGCAATAGTCACAGAATGTCGCAGACATTTGTGGCTTAACTAACTCAGTTCGGGTAGATACCTTTGTATGAGGATAGTCAGGTAATAAAGTGGTGTAAAAAGTATGCCTATACAGGGAGGTTGTTGGCCGTAAAATAGTAGTAGTAGCTGTAATATTAGTAGTAGTCGAAGTGTTTGTTGTACTTGTATTAATAAGTAAGGTTACCAGACCTAGGTCCAGGTATGATCAACAGGTATTCACCAGGTGAGTCATCAACACTCTCCTGGTGGAACACGACCAGCTAAATGACAAATTAAATCAATATACATGTTAGTACAATACAAGTGTGTGTAAATATTGTATATACTCGCTTGTACACAACCCAAATGTACTACCGCGAAATAGGGTAATGGTTCCCGGGGGTCTGAGGGTCCGAATAACCTGGGTTTTAAAATACGTAAATGACATTTCAAACCGTTCAGGTGAGAGCCACAAAAAACCGTTCTGCAGTAATGCTTTTTATAATGGCTGGAGACCCCCTGAACATTCTCAATAATGGAAGGTTCAGATATTACTTTCAAGTAAAGATTACATTCTTGGATTTTATAATAACAGACTTTGATGAGCAATCGTCTAGGAGGAGATTCAATGCTAGGAAAAAGAAAAAGAAAATAACAGTATATAGTTATACATTCTCGAGCTGGTGTAATTCCACGGATCAATTTGCGTCGAGTGTTTTGTAAGGTTTGTGTGCTTAGGGGTGCGTGTGTGTGTGTGTGTGTGTGTGTGTGTGTGTGTGTGTGTGTGTGTGTGTGTGTGTGTGTGTGTGTGTGTGTGTGTGTGTGTGTGAAATGTAATAGGCTGGGATAATCTTCTGGGTGTGGCACTCAATAGTAACATGGCACTCATTAACGTGTTGAGTATAGCATTTGGTAGTGAGCTGGTAAGGTCTGTTCTACTGGCGACACAAGCAAGTTATCGCAGGTGTGTCGGGAAGAGAGGAACTTGTCCAAGCTGTAAGTTAGGATTAAAGGTAATTATGTGTTAAGTTCTCGTGACCTAACAAGGATAAGATAAGAAAGAAATAAGTTAGTAAGTAAACAAGTAAGTAAAATATTAAGTACGTTTGCATAGGAGGGAACCCTCAACAGAGTTATAGTGTTAGTTGTGAGTTTGGTAATAATTATAGTCCACAATGCTAGGTTATCTTTGCTTTAGGAACAGAAATAAAAAAATATTTATTAATACTCCATTCTATAGAAAAATATAACTAATATTAAGACAAAATATCGTAAATGAGGTACATAGTGGACTGTAAAACTATTATTATTATTACTAGTGACAAAATACTAAAACTTGTCGTCTGAAATAGTAGGCATAGTAGACCATCTGAGCTTAGTGTTGTTTTATCATAAGACTTCTTGTACATAATAATGAACAAGAAATATACAAATTCAGTAATGATCAACGGTACGAGAAACAAGAAAACATGTTAACAGGGCACAGGTGATAACGAGACACAGACGACACGACACAGAACACACAACTAACAGCACAACACAGCACAGCACAGCACAGCACAGCACAGCACACAACACAGCACAGCACACAACACAGCACAGCACACAACACAGCACAGCACAGCACACAACACATCACACAGCACAAAATAAACACAAAGCTATCAGTCACATCCATGCTATTAGTCACTCCTACCCTATCAGTCACTTCCACACAATCAGTCACACCCACGCTGTCAGTCACACCCACAATATTATCACAACCTTGCTATCATCCACGCCCACACTATCAACCACACCCACGCTATCAGTCACACCCACGCTATCAGTCACGCCCACGCTATCAGTCACGACCACGCTATCAGTCACACCAACGCTATCAGTCACGCCCACACTATCAGTCAATGCCCACGCTATCAGTCACAACCACATTATTATCAATCACGCCCACGCTATCAGTCACACCCACACTATCAATCACACCCACAATATCAGTCACGGCCACAATATCAACCACCCCCACGCTATTAGTCACAACCTCGCTATCAGTCACGCCCATACTATCAGTCACGCCCACGCTATTAGTCACAACCTCGCTATCAGTCACGCCCATACTATCAGTCACGCCCACGCTATCAGTCACACCCACAATACCAGTTACACCCACGCTATTAGTCACAACCTCGCTATCAGTCACGCCCATACTATCAGTCACACCCACCCTATCAGTCACGCCCACGCTATCAGTTATGCCTACAGGTAGTAGGTAGTAGGCAGCTACCAAACAGGGAGGTACTACCGCCTGGGAAGATATTGGAAGCATAATGTGTTGTCTAATGGTAGACCCTGCTACCATATGACATCACGAAAATTGTGACCAAGTCCCAGGTTGCTGATCTGACTTTCTGCCTCATTTACACACAATTGCAGGGTCTCAACTGTCTCTCTTACTATTGACAACACCACAACT